CACTTGAGAATATTGCTTATATTCCATGAGAGAACGCCTAAAACGGCGACGCTTGGGCCGGCTGTAGTGCTCATGGAAGGCTCTTGGAGGGTCTTTCGAGGCGAAAATCCGTCAAGATAGCCGCTCAGACACTCTCCATCTTGTCATGGCCTTACAGGCATGACTGACGCGAACGGATGCTGGACGGGAGGAGGATTTCATGCCATCACCGGAGCTGAGAGAATGCCTCAAAAGTCTGGTGAATCCGGTGGCCAAATGGGCTGAAGACGATGCGTTTGGGCAAAAATGACGAGCATTTTTATTGGCCATTCGAGGAGGAGGTGACAAGAGCAGAGAGAAAAGGAAAGCAACGAAGAGAAGAGAAGAGAAGAGAAGAGAAGAGAAGAAGGCCGAACCACATTGAACCGGATTGTCCCGTCGAAGCGGTGTGCTTCATTGCTCCATCCGATCGGACAGAACGACCGAATCCTCCCGCCTATCCGAGCCGTCTGGACACGGCCACAAGGAGTCGCCGACCGACGGATACAGATCGTCTGCCTCTGTCGTCTGTGAGTCTGTCTACCCGGTGCTGGCAACGACCCAGCCTCCAGACCGTCGACACAATGTGTCAGGTGTACTGTCCATTTTGGCCAACCGGGCTTCGGCCAGCACCACGAGGCCTCAGGTCGCCTTGACACCCGCTCGTCGGGAAACTTTTGACCGAGCCTCGGACGGTTGGGACGGAGGCCGGCGTTGAGATAATCCACTTGATCTCCACCGCAACCCGCCCACTGGAAACATCGACAGTCGGACACCCTCGGAGGGGATGCGGTGGACCATTGATCCGGTCGTCCCGTGTGCATGTTTCTATTGCCACCGCTCCACGAGTGCAATCCACACGCGAACATTGCATCACACAACGAGTGGAGGACGCCAGTCAGACACTGATTGGCTCCACAAGCATATCTCCACACACACACACACACACACACACACAGCTAGCAGTGCATCAGCTGAACAGGCAAATGACATGTGTGCAGCTCTGCGCCCAGTTACAGAGTCCTGCGAACAAGCAAATGTGAACACATCCACATCCATGGTGTGCACAAGCACCATCCTGTTGGGCTGTGTAGGCAAGGCCTTGTTGGTCTCCTGGATCGTGGTATATAAAGCGCACATCCTTCAGGATGGCATTCGCCTCGATGAGCCATAGTCTCTCTCTCCGTAGTTTGGACTCTCGGTATCTTCCACACTACAACGTCTCTGATTTATCGATCCAACGTTGATATTTTAACAGTGAATGGACATTGGTTTCCAACTCCTACTTTAGCAACATAACTACACGCCATGTGCGATGTCTGCGTATTCTTGTGCTGATCTGTATTTTTATTTATTTAAGTCGCTCTCTCTCGCCCTCTCGTGCAACATCGTCTCTCTCTCTCTCTCTCTCTCTTTCTCTCTATCTCGCTGCTTCATCCCTCCCAATCCCCCGGTGTCTGTTAGCCAGCCGGCTCGCCATGGCCACATACCGTTCAGAATTGTACGTCCCAGTCGAGGTGAATAATTACGATTATCTGCCAACCCACCAACAGGAACGCCATCTCGGCCGGGCAGAGACGAGAGGTGTCCCGCAGCAACGGCTTCACCGGTACCCGTCGTTAAGCAACATATGCTCTCCCACGATGCATAGCGACCTGGGAAGCTCGGCTGGCGCCAATCCCGGCTACAGCACCGTCGGCCGGCCGGCGCACTCGGGCGCCTCGAGTGTGGCCGACTGGTCCGACCTGACGACGGGCACGGGCCGAGTCGCCAGTGGCGCTGGCTCGAGCCGCTCCAAGGGGCCGATGGAGGCAACCTACTTGCCGGTACACGCGGGCTACGGTCAATTGGGCTGTGGAGACGCTTGGTACGACGAGATGAAGCGTCGTTTCGACGAGCGTCGACGTCGTTGGGACGAGAATGTCAAGCGGATGCGAGACGAATTCTTTCGCGACCCCTTCGACGCGACGCCCTCGGCTCTGGCCGACTCTGACCGCAAGGTCAGCTGTATGGAGTCTCAGCCCGTGGTGACCAACTACGAACGCGGTGCGGACGAGCAGATGCATTTCATCGCCAAATTCGTCGTGTCCGACTTCGCGCCCGAACTGGTCAAAGTGTCCGTGCGTCAGAGTCAGCTGGTCGTCTCGGCTCGACTCGAGCAGCAGGCCGGAGCCACGTCGTCGAGTCGAGAGTTCACCAAATCCATAGACCTTCCGCGTCATGTCATAGAAACGCAAATCTCGGCCACCGTCACGGCCGACGGCGTCCTCGTTGTCGACTGTCCCCTTCGCTCCGGCCTGACCGGCGCCGGCTCTCCGAGTCCCGCGGCCGGACAGACGAGGCAGGACTCCGACCGGACGACAGGACTCACGTTCAAGGACCGACAATCGCCGCCCGCCTTTGCCGCCGGCCTCGCTCGGCCTCCGGTGCCCGGAGG